GACGACATACACAACAGCTGCAGGAGAGTGGCGGAGTTGTCCTTTTCGAAACGAAGCCTACGGGCTGTGTATACACATGTATACACCCGGGCTCTCCCGCAAAAGGATTGTATGTCTCAAGCAAGCTTCAGCACTTGCACACCAACTGCGCCAAGCAAAAGTATGTCTCAGAAAACGATTGAAGGTTCCTCCTGGTTCAGTTCCCTCCGCCAAGCACTCTGAGCGTGAAGGTCGACTTCTGACCGAGCAACCTGGTAATCTGAGCAATCTGGTCATCTGGTCCAATGGCCAAACAAATGAAGGTTTCATCCTGAGCCAGTGTCTCTACATGCAAGTTGTAAAGCTGTTTGCCTGAGACAACACCATCAAGGTTTGAGAATTCCCACACCTTGATGGAGTCTCAGCCTGATGCCTCTCTTGTCTTGGTATTGTGTATCGTCCACATAATGGTCAAACACTGAGGGTGTGGAATCTGAGGCCAAGCCCAGATCCCAGACCTTCAGAATGCCGTACCAGCCATCCAACAATCCCTGTAAATACATGGCGAAAGAACTGCTGCTCGTCTTATCAGAGTCTTATCAATGTCTTCCATGGCCACGCACGATCATTGCACTTTAAACTTCATGGGTCAGGGTCAAAGCCGCCAGAACTTGCTGCTTTGTTTGTGTGCAGTACAAAATCAGACTTTGAATGCCCATGACTATTGCGAACCACAGGTCAATGTTACAAGAAAATGCTGCAAGCCAAGGAAGTGATTGTACAAAAAGGAGTAAGGTTCCGTCCGGGCATCGCGCTGCTGGTCGGTGCTCCTGCTGCTTCTATCGGGTAGTTTATCTTGGATCAAGTGCTTGATACTATGCAGTTCAACCCCTTTGGAAGAAGGAAAAATCAACCAAAAACCAATTCGTTCCGGGTCTCCTATGTAAATATACACGCGTGGATTAACTCACCCATTTTGATCATGACACAACAGTTCGATGCATGTTCGACGCTCGACTTGACAACCAAGTCGAAATCCCCAAAGCCGACACATTGCCAACCCGTCAAAGCGTCCAGTGCGCTTCACCACTTGCCCGGGTTTGGGTGCGACTCCAGGTGAAGAAGGTGTCAAATCGCAGATCCACTCTGAACCAGGGCATCCTGTCTGACAGGTTTTGGGTTTCGGGTTGGGTTCCCCACGTCCAACCCTCACTTCTTAGACGCGCGGTGGACCGCGCCTGCCGCTCGCCGGTAACTGCAGCGCGTCTCACGGGGCCATCGACGCATCGGTGACCTGCGACGGCGCATCGACGAAGGGCCACACCTAGAGGTGACCAATCCTGAGATGTGTGGGTGGATGGGCTGGGTGTTTGGGTGTTTTTTTGTTGGAACCTTGTGTCACTCATTGTGTCAATGGAACCTTGGGCCAGGCAAAGCGGCGAAGACCTGGCCTGGCTGCCAGGGGTTGCCAGCAAAGCTCACAGCTCTCCGAACGACTCCTCGCGGAGCGGCGCGCGCCGGACGGGTTCGACGGAAGGTCAGAGGGGCCGCTGCGGCCGCCACTCGGTGCGATGACACTTCGGGCATCGGACTGTTCCAAGAACAAGGTCTGATATGTCTATGAGGAACTTGATATGCCTATGTGATCTGTTATGTCTTGTGATCCCAGAATGTCATTGGAACATCTTGGAACCGAGCTGCTCACATCCTTGATACACTTGAGACTGTGAAATGCTTCCACTCCACATGCATCTTGCGCAGCGGTGCTTCTGTCCGAAACGAAACCTCAATCCGTTCATAGACTTGAGTTGCTTCTTGCTCCTAGTAGTAATTCCAGGAGCTACATTCGTAGTTTCTTGCTACTAGTAGGCCCATTCTTTCCACCGCAGGACCAGGACTTCGGCCCCAAAGTCAGCACCTGTCTCCAAGCTCCGCTTCCACCTGGGCGGCCAAGGTTTGCAGCGCAGTGTGCTCCTGGCCACGGCGTTCCACGCTTGGTGTCCTCCCACGGTGGCTGTCCGGGGGTTCACCTGGTCTCATCGTAGTGGTTCACCCTGTCTTCGGGTCCACACCCTAGTAGCGATGCCAGGAGCCCCTAATAGCTGCTTGCCCCTAGTAGCGAGGCCAGGAGCCCCTAATAGCTGCTTGCTCCTAGTAATAAGGCCAGGAGCCCCTAGTAGCGAACATTGTTCCTAGTAGTAAGGCCAGGAGCCCCTAGTAGCGTCCTTGCCCCTAGTAGCGAGGCCAGGAGCCCCTAATAGCTGCTTGCTCCTAGTAATAAGGCCAGGAGCCCCTAGTAGCGAACATTGTTCCTAGTAGTAAGGCCAGGAGCCCCTAGCGTCCTTGCCCCTAGTAGCGATGCCAGGAGCCCCTTATGGCTGCTTGCCCCTAGTAGCGAGGCCAGGAGCCCCTAATAGCTGCTTGCTCCTAGTAATAAGGCCAGGAGCCCCTAGTAGCGAACATTGTTCCTAGTAGTAAGGCCAGGAGCCCCTAGTAGCGTCCCTGCCCCTAGTAGCGAGGCCAGGAGCCCCTAATAGCTGCTTGCTCCTAGTAATAAGGCCAGGAGCCCCTACTAGCGAACATTGTTCTTAGTAGTAAGGCCAGGAGCCCCTAGTAGCGTCCTTGCCCCTAGTAGCGATGCCAGGAGCCCCTAATAGCTGCTTGCTCCTAGTAATAAGGCCAGGAGCCCCTACTAGCGAACATTGTTCCTAGTAGTAAGGCCAGGAGCCCCTAGTAGCGTCCTTGCCCCTAGTAGCGAGGCCAGGAGCCCCTAATAGCTGCTTGCTCATAGTAATAAGGCCAGGAGCCCCTAGTAGCGAACATTGTTCCTAGTAGTAAGGCCAGGAGCCCCTAGTAGCGTCCTTGCCCCTAGTAGCGATGCCAGGAGCCCCTAATAGCTGCTTGCTCCTAGTAATAAGGCCAGGAGCCCCTAGTAGTGAACATTGTTCCTAGTGGTAAGGCCAGGAGCCCCTAGTAGCGTCGTTGCCCCTAGTAGCGATGCCAGGAGCCCCTCATAGCTGCTTGCTCCTAGTAATAAGGCCAGGAGCCCCTAGTAGCGAACATTGTTCCTAGTAGTAAGGCCAGGGGCCCCTAGTACCGTCCTTGCCCCTAGTAGCGATGCCAGGAGCCCCTAATAGTTGCTTGCTCCTAGTAATAAGGCCAGGAGCCCCTAGTAGCTTCTTGTTCCTAGTAGTAAGGCCAGCAGCGCCTAGTCTACTAGCGTCCTTGCTCCTAGTAGCGATGCCATAGCTTCTTGCTCCCAGTAGTACGGCCAGGAGCCCCTAGTAGCGTCCTTGCTCCTAGTAGCGATGCCAGGAGCCCCGAGTAGCGAACATTGTTCCTAGTAGTAAGGCCGGGAGCCTGTAGTAGTGTCCTTGCTCCCAGTAGCGATGCCAGGAGCCCCTAGTAGCGAACATTGTTCCTAGTAGTAAGGCCAGGAGCCTCTAGCAGCGTCCTTGCTCCTAGTAGCGATGCCAGGAGCCCCTAGTAGCGAACATTGTTCCTAGTAGTAAGGCCAGGAGCCCCTAGTAGCGTCCTTGCTCCT